GACAGATCTAACAACAACAGTGCCGCCACACCACCTCGATCCAGATGCCTCCGAAGATCGTCAGTCAGGGCAACCAGCACTGTCTCCGTCCCATGACCTGGGCGGAAGCCGGACTGGAATGGATCCAGGACAGAAGCGTCATCCAGAAAGCTCTTAAGCTGTGTCGCCACCGCCCTCTCGATCAATTTGCCCAAATTAGACAAATTGGACACCGGCCGATAGTTGGCCAATCCAGCCGGGTCCAGAGTTGGTTTTTTCAGGAGAGGACGGACCATCGCCTCCTTGAGTACCCCAGGGAACCGTCCCTCCAAGAGGGACTTGTTGATAATCTCCCTTACGGCACCTCGAAACCCCTCATGGCCCGCTTTAATGAGCCAGGAAGGACACGGATCAAGACGGCACGTGGTTGGGCACACAGATGTGAACAGTCTGTCAACTTCCTCCAGACTGAGCGGGTCAAAACATTCTAAACTCTGCGAAGGCGCGCAAGGGGCCTCAAGTTCGCTCACTGTTTCAATTGTGGCAGGGAGGTCACGGCGGAGCGTCAAGACTTTATCTGCGAAATAGCTCGCAAAAGCCTCACAGCCAATATCCAATTCCCTACTGTTTTGTCTGCCTTGGGGCAGAGCTGTCAAAGACCGAATTGTTCTAAATAATTGGGCTGGGCGTGAGCTCGCAGACGCAATCCTGGCTGCATAGAACTCCCTCTTAGCAGCCTTGACCGCCATCTCATAGGATCTCATAAACGTCCTATAGGATGTTCTTGACGCTTCATCGCAGGCATGCCGCCACTGTCTCTCTAGCCGTCTTAGTTCTCATTTAATGAGCCGCGACCCCTGGGTATACCAACGGGACAGCTTAGAATGAGAGCGCAGAGGGCACCTGGGAGTGATCTCATCAATGGCTGTGGAGAGACGGTCATACCAGTCCTCCACAAGCTCATCCAATGAGCCGCCAGGGGGCATCGGATTCCGCAGAGCCATCTGAAACCGAACGGGGTCCGTTTGGCTCCGCGGGCGAGCTAAAATCTGCTCGCTGCCTAAACAGGGTTGGGGTGCGACATTCAGACGAGCCTTCAGGGCAAAGTGGACCGACCATGGTACTGCCGCTGCAGTAATCCGGTCCATTGTAATCTCTGCCGTGAAGATCAAATCAAGCGTGTGCCCGGCCTGGTGCGTGGGGATCGCTACACATTGAGAGAGTCCCAGTGCCGCCATGGACGATACCAGGTCCGTAGCCCGGCTGGAGTTGGCATCCCTATCTTCTTCCCACCCAACAGCCAACCTACCTTTATCTGCCTCTCTGTCTTCACCTTTTCATCACTTTTCCCCCTGCAGCTTCTACTGCGGAAAACTATGGTCTTTCTCCACAGTGGGGACTAAAGCATTTAACATTATTCACTCCTCTTTTTTATCCACACAACAACCCTGTGAGGTATGAAAGTATGTGACTGGTCCAAAATCACCCAGTGAGCTTCCACAGCAAGATGGGAAAATCTAAACCTGGGTCTCGCAAACCCTACTCTGAAGCTCTGACCATTATACTACACTGACTTTCCTAAGTTGGCTGCTGTTAAACAGTAGCAAACAGCTAGGCCTAGTTGAATCATGGAAGTCAGGTGGTCTCAAGTCACCCAGAGGGTGCTGCCAGGTCTAGGTTTGCCTGGTCTAGGTTTGCCAGCCTCCAGATGGGACCTAGAGATCCCCCAGAATTACAACTAAACTCCAGATAACAGAGATCTGTCCCCCTGGAGAAAATGGGTAACCTCTGTGGCATTATATCCAGATGAGGCCTCTCCCCTCCTCAAACTCTGCACTCCTCAGACTTCATCACAGAATCTCCAGGAATTCCCCAACCTGGAGCAGGCAATCCTAGTCCCAAAACTGGTCCCAAACCCCCTTCATACTGCAGGAGGAATTCTTCCCCATCCCAGATCCAGTTCTACTTTTTGGTTCCTCCTCTCCCCCCCCCCCCCCCATCAGCCAGTCTATCTCTCAGTGTTGATGCAGCAGGGCCTGGAGTAGATCCCTCCAATGGCCATTTCAAAAGGTATTGAAGGGAGATTCAACCCTCCCTGGGTTTTTTTTTTTTTTTACATCTTTCTGCAAACCCATGGAGTCCCCTGAGTCTGTAGAAAAACCTGTTGGGGGAGAGTTTGCCCCCTATCTGCAGAAATAAGTATCTGTATGCAGAGGGGAGTTTGGGAATTAGATATATAGATTATGCCCAGTGGTATGCTAAGGGCTATACCCAGAAGTGATGAAATCCTCTATCCAAATGGCTTTTTCCATGTATTGGACATACAAGATAAAAGATAAGGGAAGAGGTCAAGGATTGACAAATGAGCTGCAAGTGAATGAGGGACAGCATCTGATGGCAGCTTTTCAGAAATTTCAGCCAAGTGCAATGCCACTGATGCTGGATTTGATAGTCCTGAACAGCTTTTTAAGGGCTTGATGCATTAAAAAGGATTCCCTCTTTGCTCCTGCATGACCCTGTTTTTGTGTCCAGAGGGGAAACAGAATACTCGCTGTACGAAAGGCACTGACAATGTTGCCTTGGGAACATTTGGTGGAATAGGATTCATTTTACAGTAAGGTTGCTATTATGTTGTGAACTATCTTGAGGATTCTGTAGAGCCACATGGTAAGATATAAATCCCGTATATGGTTGAATACTAAATTACTTGGAAGTAAACCTGTAGATGTCAGCTGGACTGTTTTCCTAGTACATAGTTAGGATGCAGCTATAGGATTAATTTTGTATAATGAGAAATGTGAATTTGCATTTTGCCAAGGCTTCCTATTTACAGTTAACCAGAACAGTTGTGTCCTCAAGAAAAAGTGAACCTGATGTGGATCTGAAAAAAGAAATTACAAATATATTGAAAATGCTGACGGGAATTCTTGTGGTGATTCTAGGCAATGTGGGAAATGGCTGCCTTGAGTGTTAAAAATTATTAATACAGAAGACGGATATTGATTTTCAAAACAGGTCAAATTTAATTGTATGTAGAGCTGGAATGCTTACGGTACAATCGTCTCCTCACTTCTGCTCCCTTTCTGACCTTCTGTGTCAGATGATCGTTTGGGTTGCTATTGCATATTGGGTTCCTGGAGTTTCTTCTGGGTTTGCAGAATCATCTCTCCTAGTGCTGTGTGGCTCCATTGTGTGATTTGTTTTTTTACCTACAAGGGAGGGGACATATACCGTTAGATATGTAGATCTAGATGGTTCAAAGTTCTAGAGGGCTCTATGACATTGAGGCATTCGGGGGAGTGGGTAGGTAACATATCTTAGACTCATTACCATGACCTGGATAGTCTAAGCTAGCCGATCTCATCAGATCTCATAAGCTAAGCAGGGTTGGTTCTGGTAAGCATTTGTATGGAAGACCACCAAGGAAGTCCAGGTCTCTTGCCTTGAAAACCACATGGGGGTCACCATAAGTCAACTGAGACTTCACAGCAAAAATATTAAAAATAACAATCTTAGAATCATAGTTTATGAGGAATCTGTGCAACATCATACTGATACTGAGGTATTTTAATAAAATGGCGCTGAAGAAAGTGGGTCATTGCCAATGGAGTTTGGGTTTCATGCTGTACTGTTCATCCCACTGCTGCCTTACCATTGCTGCCTGCTAGGGTTCAGTTCTAGCAAGAAGTTCCGTTGCTGTTCAGATATGCCTTGAGAAATGGAGACAAGAGGAAGAAGATAGTGGCTGCAGTCTGATTCCAAGGTAGGCAACAGGGAGATCTTGAGTCTTTGACAGCTGTTCAGACCGATTCATTATACTTTGGCTGATACATGAGCAAGTGTGGTAGAACAAGACACTTGAGAAATGTCAAATGAGATACATGACCTCTGTGTTGTTTGGTACTTAGATTAACGTTTAAAGCTATTTATAGAACAAAGTTTTTACTGATGTTTCTCAGATCCAGTGACAGTAGTCTAGTTTATAACTTGAAATGAAAAAAAAAATCGCTGTATTCTAATCAGACTATATCAGATAATTTTTAAATACAATACATGCTACTTCCTGGGTCATGTTCAGATATCTGGTATTAGTTTGTTATTAACATACACGCATTAGTAAGGGACATGTTGCATATTTAATACTCACTAGCAGAGTTTAATCTCTAACTGATATAGCACTGTGCAAAAGGATACAAATCAGCTTTCACAGAGTTAAGGAGATATAATCTGTTCAGTACAAGAAGTTTCAGAGACAAAATGAATTTTTGAAATTGGAATGCCATGGCATGGGAGCAGTCCTAAACAGGTCTACCCAGAATCCTACTCAAGTGTACTCTGTGGGGTTTACTCCCAGGAAAGTGTTATTAGGATTGCACTGTTAATGTTCTTTCCTACACAGATACAACAGACTTTCTGAGTTTACAGATTAATGTCTGGTATTAATGTTGATGTGTGTCATCAGCTGAATTAAAACTTAAGCCAAGTAAAGGAGGAAAAAGGAGACCCAAGAGTGTCTGATAATTTAATTTCAAATATTTTGACCTCTGGGTATTGAAAATAAAGTTGAAAATTTACCCTATATTGTTTTGCAGACATACTGCCTAGGTGTATTTATATATCTTCTCTCAGTTTTATTGTCCTTATCTTTTGCCGGAAAAGTATTATGTGAAGCAGAAAATAAATGCTTAAACACAGGATCGCATTGCTTGGCAAGTTTAGGCCAATCCTTATCCTGTTCTACCTCTACCATTTCCTTTTGCTACCTAGTTCTGTGACAATGACAGTTTTGCGTAATGCTGCACTGATGCACCATTTGATAAGAATTATTCTGAGTGTCAAGTTGTGTTAATAAATAATACAGTGGGACTTGCCAATGTATTGGCCCAGGGAACACTGCATATCATTCCAAATACTTATTTGCTGATGCGGCAGCTCACATGTTTGGCCTGTTGGTGACTTTAATGCATCTTCCAATATGTCAATGGAGCTGCTTACTATTGTTTATTGATAAATTTTGCACAAAGAAGAAATTGAAAAGGGTTCCACTTTGGCTTCCTTACAACAGCCCTGTTTTCAGGATCATAAGAGGGCTTTTTTGGGGGACTTAAAAATATCAAGAATTGCTGATTACTATCTCTCCTTATATATAACTGAGTAAGAACGTTCTATATGAACGTTCTAAATTTGGCCTCCTTAGTGTTAGGCCGGTGGGACTGCCAGTTATCATGTCTTCCGACCAATAAGAGGTCGAAGCCCCGTCCAACCAATAAAAACTCGAAGCCCGGTCCCGCCCACACCACTACTGTTGCCAGAGTCAGCCTCCGCCATTTTGTGTTCACAAGGACAAGGAGGTCTTCCAGCAACACTTGCATCTAAAGGTGTGAACCACGTCCCCCCCAGGACAAAGCTGGCGAGCCGTCGGCTCCCCCCCTCCACAACCACCAGAGGCCGCGATTGGAGCCATAGGCTCCGCTCGCCGGCTTCTCCCTCCTCCCACCGCCCCCCCAGCGCAGGGCCGGCGAAGGGAGCCTTCAGGCTTCGCTCGCCGGCTTCTCCCTCCTCCCACCGCCCCCCCAGCGCAGGGCCGGCGAAGGGAGCCTTCAGGCTCCGCTCGCCGGCTTCTCCCTCCTCCCACCGCCCCCCCAGCGCAGGGCCGGCGAAGGAAGCCTTCAGGCTCCGCTCGCCGGCTTTTCCCTCCTCCCACCGCCCCCCCAGCGCAGGGCCGGCGAAGGGAGCTTTCAGGCTTCGCTCGCCGGCTTCTCCCTCCTCCCACCGCCCCCCCAGCGCAGGGCCGGCGAACGGAGGTTTCAGGCTTCGCTCGCCGGCTTCTCCCTCCTCCCACCGCCCCCCCAGCGCAGGGCCGGCGAAGGAAGCCTTCAGGCTCCGCTCGCCGGCTTTTCCCTCCTCCCACCGCCCCCCCAGCGCAGGGCCGGCGAAGGGAGCTTTCAGGCTTCGCTCGCCGGCTTCTCCCTCCTCCCACCGCCCCCCCAGCGCAGGGCCGGCGAACGGAGGTTTCAGGCTTCGCTCGCCGGCTTCTCCCTCCTCCCACCGCCCCCCCAGCGCAGGGCCGGCGAAGGAAGCCTTCAGGCTCCGCTCGCCGGCTTTTCCCTCCTCCCACCGCCCCCCCAGCGCAGGGCCGGCGAAGGGAGCTTTCAGGCTTCGCTCGCCGGCTTCTCCCTCCTCCCACCGCCCCCCCAGCGCAGGGCCGGCGAACGGAGGTTTCAGGCTTCGCTCGCCGGCTTCTCCCTCCTCCCACCGCCCCCCCAGCGCAGGGCCGGCGAAGGAAGCCTTCAGGCTCCGCTCGCCGGCTTTTCCCTCCTCCCACCGCCCCCCCAGCGCAGGGCCGGCGAAGGGAGCTTTCAGGCTTCGCTCGCCGGCTTCTCCCTCCTCCCACCGCCCCCCCAGCGCAGGGCCGGCGAACGGAGGTTTCAGGCTTCGCTCGCCGGCTTCTCCCTCCTCCCACCGCCCCCCCAGCGCAGGGCCGGCGAAGGAAGCCTTCAGGCTCCGCTCGCCGGCTTTTCCCTCCTCCCACCGCCCCCCCAGCGCAGGGCCGGCGAAGGGAGCTTTCAGGCTTCGCTCGCCGGCTTCTCCCTCCTCCCACCGCCCCCCCAGCGCAGGGCCGGCGAACGGAGGTTTCAGGCTTCGCTCGCCGGCTTCTCCCTCCTCCCACCGCCCCCCCAGCGCAGGGCCGGCGAAGGAAGCCTTCAGGCTCCGCTCGCCGGCTTTTCCCTCCTCCCACCGCCCCCCCAGCGCAGGGCCGGCGAAGGGAGCTTTCAGGCTTCGCTCGCCGGCTTCTCCCTCCTCCCACCGCCCCCCCAGCGCAGGGCCGGCGAACGGAGGTTTCAGGCTTCGCTCGCCGGCTTCTCCCTCCTCCCACCGCCCCCCCAGCGCAGGGCCGGCGAAGGAAGCCTTCAGGCTCCGCTCGCCGGCTTTTCCCTCCTCCCACCGCCCCCCCAGCGCAGGGCCGGCGAAGGGAGCTTTCAGGCTTCGCTCGCCGGCTTCTCCCTCCTCCCACCGCCCCCCCAGCGCAGGGCCGGCGAACGGAGGTTTCAGGCTTCGCTCGCCGGCTTCTCCCTCCTCCCACCGCCCCCCCAGCGCAGGGCCGGCGAAGGAAGCCTTCAGGCTCCGCTCGCCGGCTTTTCCCTCCTCCCACCGCCCCCCCAGCGCAGGGCCGGCGAAGGGAGCTTTCAGGCTTCGCTCGCCGGCTTCTCCCTCCTCCCACCGCCCCCCCAGCGCAGGGCCGGCGAACGGAGGTTTCAGGCTTCGCTCGCCGGCTTCTCCCTCCTCCCACCGCCCCCCCAGCGCAGGGCCGGCGAAGGAAGCCTTCAGGCTCCGCTCGCCGGCTTTTCCCTCCTCCCACCGCCCCCCCAGCGCAGGGCCGGCGAAGGGAGCTTTCAGGCTTCGCTCGCCGGCTTCTCCCTCCTATCAGTTCCTCTGGAGAAAACAGTGGACTCTGTCATTATACCCTGCTGAGGTCACCACAGCAAATTGACACTGTTTGCCCAAAGCCAGAGCACTGCCCCAGATTCTCTTTCTAGATCTCGTTTTATTGCTTTCACAACGGGCTTTACTGCTAGTAGCATTATAACATTATTAAGATCTGTAACCACAATGTATTTGTTCCCAGCTTTTATTTAATAACAGTGAGTATCTAGCCCCTTTCATTGTGGATTTATAAGTCAAAAGATGAAGGCTGATTTACTTAGGCCCCGTTCACACGAGGCGTTTTGGGCCGGGAGTGGGCCAGATTGGAGACGGAGCAAACGGGCGCGATCCCACGCCAACATCTGGCTGGCATGGCGCTCCCGTCTCCGATCTGGCCCTTTCCCCGGCTGCGGCGCGTCAAATGTGAACCACCTACCGAGGTGGTTCATCCGGATGACGCGCCGCAAGCCAGGCCGTTGGATCGCCGGCGCGTCTTTGCCGGAGCATGCGCAGTTCGGCAGGCTCCCTGTCAGGGTCTTTGTCGGAGCATGCGCAGTTCGGCAGGCTCCCTGTCAGGGTCCTGGTTTCTCCCCGGCGTCTGATTGCGCCGGGGAGAAAAGGCGCCGTGGCCAGGGGATCCGTGGGATCCCGCCACAGCGTCTCAACTTTGGCACGGCTTTTAAAAGCCGCGCTTTTAGAGGCTTTTCCCCTGCCGTGTGGCAGGGGCCTTAGTCTCTCTTTTGTTACTGTTAGCCTTTAACGTTATATCTTTTTGGCTGGGGAAGGGAGCTGGAAGTTGGGAGGCAGGCTTTTTTGGTTTTTTTTGAAGAGTAGGAAGCAGGATTGTTGTTTGCGGTTGTTGCAGGTTTTAAAAATCATTTCTAGTAATGCTGGCTATATAAAGAGATTGCTTTGTCTGCATAATAAAAGCTTGATTATTTTAATAGAACTTCAGTTATATAACTGGAAGTTATATCACAGTGTTCATTTAACTGCTCCCCGAAAATATATCTACTGAATGTCTGCCCTACAAGTATGAACTTGTCTCAGAAGAGCCTTTTATCACAGTTGATTATAACAGTGAGAATGGCGATGGCACGTAATCTCGGATTATGGTTGAACCAAGTATGGTACATATGAACAATGAATAAGATATCTTCATATAAATATATGTGGACCAAGAAAGGATGATCTGCTGCAAAATTGCTGACACTTGGAAATTGTTTGTACTGTATCAGAATAGCCGTAAAGGTTGCCAAGATGTGCAGCAACAGATATTGGAATTTGTTTGACAGAAGAGTGTTTCAGTGTACTTAGAAACTGTGAAGATATGGCAAAGTGAGTTTGTGTTTGTGAGGTTATATATGTTAGAGATGCACCTATAGGTTTGGGCTTTTTCACTCAATTGTTTACTTTTTTGAATTGAAATAATTTTAAAAAAAATCTTGATTATTGATGGTTTCTGTTTTTAACTATTATCATTTTGTTAGGTACCTTAAGATTCAGCTTGCTTCTCAGCTTGCTTGTGTGTGTATACACAACCACATGCACAAATATATGCATTTATTTTATTAAAATTATGATTTTAAATTTCATGTCAAACAGGTCAATTTGGTGTAATGCTATACATAATTTTATATCATTTAAGTGGGAAAGTAAATTTAGATTTAATAAGAAAAATACTGCACATATTTAAATGTTCCCAACATTTCTGGTTTTTACTTAAAAAAAACAAAACAGGGAAAATAACCCCTTTCACTACGACCACCATCGCCACCACCCACATCAGGAAACGTTAATCTCTGTTTGGAAGTCCATCTGTTGTCAAGTGGAAAATTTGTCCTAAGCAGGTCAGATCCTAGATGGAACATTGACTATGCAGTCATCTGATGGGTGAATTGTCACCATTTTTAACCGTTTAGACCTGAACTGGTTCTCCCTTTTGCCAAGCCTGGAAGGAGAGAGGGAGGATTGTTGTAGTTGCTGGGCAGCTTCATTATATGTTCCTCAACCTTCTTCATCACCAGACCTACCCAGAACATGGAAGGTGGTGTTACTGGATCTAAGGACACCACACATTTGAAAGGACAGGAGGTAAGAACAAGTGTGACACTGTTTGTCCTGTTAGATTCAAGACCAGTTGCACTTTACAGACCAACAAGATTTTCGGGGTATCCTCTTCTCAGCTTATTTTCAGGGTACAAACTTGTTGGTCTCTATTGTGTCGTGGGTTGACCGCATGGCGAGGCCACTGCACCACGCATGACATCTTGCACGCTTCACTGGTACACAACAAAAAGACTAAGGGGAACGGCCGGTGGGCCAACTATATACACATATGGGGACACCCCCTAGCTCCCATTGGTGGGTTTGAATCTCCCACCACTGTCCCATTGGTCCCCCAGTGGAGAGACCAGGAGCCTTGTCCCCATTGTTCTTCCAGAGTCAAGCTCTGAGGTATTCGCTGGCCCCTGGTGGCGGTCAGCGGACACAACAGTCTCTAAGGTGCTACCGGACTCGAATCTAACTGTTCTACTGCAGACTAACACAGCTCCCCTCTGAAACTGTTTGTCCTGGCATTAATAGCTAGTGGAGCATGATGGTAGACTTTCCACAGATGGGTTTCCATTCCCCCTGCACTGTACCTTCATACTGGAAAACCTGCACATGTCAACTCTCTTCTGTTACCATGTTTTAATGATGTAGCTGGGTGTAAATAGGCTATCTAGATGTTACCTTCTGGACAAGGAACTAACACCTCCTGGATCTGTGCACTCCTGTTTCAAAAAGCTGCAGGACTTCTGTATCTCTGCCACTTTTCCCACACCTTGCAAAATACAATTAAGGCAAAACTCTGTGATGCTCAGTTTGTGAGACTTAAAAAAAAAAAAAACCACTATAGAAACCTTCCTCTTCATGATATGCTGTATGGAACATCCACTGTCTCTGATCCTCCGCTATATATAATTCTATTTTGGTCATGGACTCCCCTGAACATTCCAACACGCTCCAAAATCAGTTCGCTCTCTGATCTGTCATTCAGAAGGTCTCCCTATCCACTGGGTGCTTTGCCTGAGTCCTGCCTCCAACATTCTAGACAGTTTGCTCTTCCTCTCCCCCCCACAGCCAGTCAGAACACAGAGGTCATTTGCATATGTGGCCTGATTCGCCTTTCCCTCTAACCACAGAGGTAGTTTGCTGTTGATGTTCTGAGGTAAAATAAATTTCCCCTTAGTGTCTGTTGGGGGAAACCATGGTTGCAAATCTCCAGGTGAGGGCTAAAGATCACCACTCAGAATTACAACTGCTTTCCAGATGGCAGAGATCAGTTCCCCTGGAGAAAATGGTGGACTCTGCGTCCTTATATCCTGCTGAGATGGCCCCTGTATGACAGCCAATGTGACGTAGCAGTCAGGGCTTCAGCTATTAAAACTGATGTCCAGATGACCCAGATCAGTTCTTTTGGAGACAATGGCTGCTTTGGGCAGTAGATTCTATGGCATTATACCCTGTGACTATGGAACCACTTTCCAGACCCTTGGAACCCAGAAAACATGGCACTGGAGGAGGTGCTTTTCTACGTTAGCTGTGACTGCATAGCCCCAAATTAACATAAGCCAACCTCCAGGCGGCACCTGGAGATCTCCAGCTATTAAAACTGATGTCCAGATCACTAAGATCAGTTCTCCTGGAGACAATGGCTGCTTTGGGCAGTGGATTCTATGGCATTATACCCTACTGA